GGATGAGAGGAATCCGTCTGGGCAGCCCAGGGGACGATGGGGGTAAACCATCCAACCCTCTGCCCTGGGTTCCGCACGCAGACCCGAGGGCTGTGAAGAGTCAGCCCTTGGAAAGAGGAGGAGCTCACCGCGTTGCACGAACACCTTTCCACCGCGCTTGTCACGAGCGCGGCAGCCAGCCTGGAAGAGCGCGGGTGGTTTGGTTGAAAGCAAACCTGTCTGGCTGGCGTCTTAGTGACGAAGACAGACCTCGGGAGACTCGGGGGCTCATGAAGGCGGCCTTGCCCAGGAGCACTCACGGCACGGCACAGCATGACAGGAATCACGTGAAAACACAGAGGACAGAGGTCGCCCCTCCTTTAGGCGAGAACCTCCTGGAGGACGGACACCGCCTTCCACGCCTCTGCTCACTGCAGACGCCACGCTCGTTCAGTGCACACCCACGTGCCGGCACACAGCGGGTCAGCGGGCGTCTCCGTGGGTGGGTTCCGTGAGGCGCCGGGAAAACTGACCAGGTCCGGACCGAAGACCAGGGCTACTCGGGGACTTGGGACCCGGACGGCCTGAATCTGAACCCTGGCTCGACCACTAACCAGTTAAGAGGAGGATTTCCCCGTGGGCCTCAGTTTTCTCATCTGTGAAGCGGGGATGATTTCACTTGCCTTACGAGGGTACGACAAGGACGAAGTTAGTGACACGTGAGCACTCACACAGTGGCGGTCCCAGGACACGCACCGGCGACGGCCCGGCTCCGCCGCCTCTGGAGGGTCCAAGCCCTCTGTTCCCACTGCAGACCCTGCAGGCACTGCAGGCAAGGGCCGGTCCACGCCGGCCACCTCCTGGGGGTCTAACAGGAAACCTTTTTAAAACCGCGTTTCCCGTCCCCACGCATGGCAAGGCCGGAAACGGGGCCCTTCCCTCTTTGCTCGTCCTTATTTCAAGTTTTCAGAAGCAGCCGGGTGCTGGGCTCCCGGCAGAGGCCACACGCCTCAGCGCTCTCCTCTCCCGGTTATGAGCGAGGGAGGGGCTGCCGAATCCACACCGGCTGTGCAGTCTGCTGGGTCCCGTGGTTTTCAAAAGGCGGGGAAGGGGGTCAGCGGGCAACCTCCACAGGGGACGAGGTAAGACAGTCGAGAGCCGGCCAGACCCCGGCCCCAGGCGTCAGCCTGACTCATGGAACAGACAGACAGGCAGACGGACAGACATGGCTTGCACACAGTGTGGAGCTGGGGCCTGGCCCCTGACTGAGGGTGGCTCCTGAGCTGCGAGACGGGAGGGGACCCGAACAGCAGCAGTCCGGGCGCCCCAGTCCTGTCGCCCAGCTGTCCTCGCCTCTTCGCCACCCTCCGCCCTGAGCCGGGCCGGGAGGCACGCAGTGTCCACAGCACACATCGGACAGGGTGGCTTTCGTCGTCCTGGTCAAATGAGGCGACCCTGCAGAAAGGCTTTCCTCTCACAGGGGACGGGTTGGAGACCCGCTGGGACACCATGGGGGCAGCTTAGCCAGTCGGGGCAAGAGATGAAGTCCCTGGGAGCCATGGCTACAGGCTGGGAACTCCCACCCCCTTGATTATCAGGAGAAGGGGCGAGTCAGGGGGGCACCCGGGTCAAACATTCTGGGGGCCAAGGAGGAAGGAGATGAGCAAGTATAATTCAGCTACACGGGGACCAACGGTACCCCCGCGGGAGTTTATACCACCCATCGCCTGGAGTCGCTCCCAGCATCCTCGGGGAGATGTCAGAACCAGCCAGACGCCAGGGTGACGCAGGGTGCCCCAAAGTCAGCCTGCACCTGCCTGGGGACGCGGTCGTACGCCCCTGCCTGAAGCGGCTCAGGCAGGAAGGCTCGAGAAGGCAGCCTGTACCCGTCAGCCTTGCCCGGCCAGACTCACGCCGCACCTACCGCTTTGGGCTACAGCGGGAGCCCGCGGAAAGGGCAAGGAATTCAGGCCCGGGGGTGAGAAGAAGAAGAGAATTCACTGCACAGGACTCACGGTTCTGCAGTGAGTCTGCACCCACCTGGCACATACACAGTCACTGCAGGGTCATTGTCCACACTCCCCGTGCCGATGCTGCCCCTCACGTCCCCGAGGCCAGTGTGTGAGGACGGGCTCTGAGGTTCGCTGGCGGGAGCTGAACATCCACACTTCTGCCAACATCTAAATGTCCTCATTAAATAGAGATGAGCCCTTTATCTGCAGGGTGGTCGGGGGGGGGAGGGGAGGGGAGGGGGGAGCGTGCTGAGCTCAGGTGCTGCCAAGCTGCGCACACGGTGGGGGACTCTAGGCTGAGCAGGACTTCCAGATCTATGCTAAATGCTTCCTGGAGTGACTCCAGTGCCCCATGTGGAGGGGCGGGGGGTTGGGTAGGGAGAGAGGAGCGTGGCATCAAAGGTGCCAGCAAGGAGGCAAGAGGCAGAGCCAAATTCTCAGGCTCGAGACCTCTTACGCCTCCCCCACGTCCTGTTTACCCTAATTCTGCACTGTGTACAGGGTCCAGGGCGGGGATCAGCACCCTTTTTTCTGCAAAGGGCAACATAGTAAATATCCTCACCTTTTCCGGCCAGGCCACGTGGCCTGGGTCGCAGAGGCTCAACTGCACCACTGCAGCACACAAGAGGCCACAGGCAGAGTACATGCAAACAGACATGGCTATTTGGCAATAAAACTTTATTTGCAAAAGCAAAAGGACTTTGCCCCCTGTAGTTTGCAACCCTAGCCTAGGGATTTGGGGTTCACCCAGTTTCCACAGCCAGCCAACAGCTGCATTGGGACTGAATGAGGAAGAACTCTGTACTCTTCCCATGGCCCCGCGCATATCCAACCACACCTTTGCTGCCAGGGGTCTCCTTCTGCCCCCCTAAATGCAGTGTGCCTCAGTATGCTCATCCCCCCACCTGCACCCCACTAGGCATGCTCCATCTCTCAGGACTCAGCTTCTCCTAAGACATGAAATACAGATGCAGAGGGTTAACCCCAGCCAGCCCCAAAGACCACAGGCTGGGGAGGCTAAAGGCACCTTCCCCTTTAACTGCCTCCCAGCTGCATGAACGGGGGTGCCGGGGGGGGCATGCAGGCAGCCCCGCGTGTTTCCCTTGCCCGTGGAAATTGGTCGGGGCTTTTGCAAATGAAGTAGGGGCTCAGCGAACACAGGTGGCAGCTGCTTCCCAGGTGGGAACGGATGTAACACAGCTCTAACCCCCGGGGCCATGGGGTCATTTTCACCTGCCTTGGGGATCTCACCCGTGGCACAGCCCACTGCAAAGGGCTGGCTGCAGACAGGACACGCGGGCTGCCGACCCCCTCCCCCCCTCCTCACTGAGTGAGCTCCTTGGACTTGGAGGTGAATTACTCCCCTTCATGTCTCCCCAGGGAGTGTGTTCTCCCTCAAGAAGGCCGGTCATCATGATGCCACGTTGCATTACTCTGTTGACATAAAGGACTTTTTATTTAAGAAAAGGAGACAGGACTTCACAGCCTGATTGAGGCCAAGGTGCCTCCCAAAGGCGCAGAGAATAAAGCCACAAGGGACAGCGGGGACACACGTGAGAAAGCCACCTCGCCTTCCCACCGGAACTTCAGAGACGGAGAAAGGTATGTGGCACCTCGGCCCGGGAAGGCCCCCAGGTCCTCCTCCTCGTGTAGAAGCAGAGGCAGCCGAGCCACTGAAGATCACGGATCCCACAGATACATGGGATGGGGGATTCTCCTCCTCCTGCGCCAGCCAGAACCAGGGTACAGGTGCAGACCTTTAGGCCCGAAGGCAGCAACCCTGCTCTCTGCAGAGATGTCCTCACTGGCCCACGGAGAGATGAGTGCCCGGTGTCTCCCGCATCCCCCTGGAACTATTGGCAAACACTCGGCACTCACAGGAGTGCTGGTTAGGTGCCAGGCACTGTTCTACTAAGGCTTTCCACGCATTAACCTATTTAACCTTTGCCATGACCCTACAGACTGGTGCTTAGTTGTCCCCATTTTACCAGGGAGGGAACCGAGGCACAGAGATGCTAAGTAACTTGTCTGAGGTCACACAGCCTGCAACTGATGGAGCTGGGACTCAGATCCGAGGAGCCCAGCCACAGAGCCCTCCGTCAGCCCCTCCACACGCCGGCGCCCGAGCCAGGTGCGCCTGTCCCTAGAGCCCAGCCCGAGCTCCGCTTCTCCACTGCACCGGGCTCCTCTGCGCTCACAGGATCTGCGGCCCGGATGGCCCAGGCCGCCTGGAGTCCTGTTCCCTTGTTTTACGGCTAGAGACGGATTCCCAAGGGAAAGGGTAGGGTCCGCGGCCACCGGGTGAGAGCATTAACACCGACTCGGTACAGTGAGTGCCCTTCCCACCTTCTAGAACTCACAGCCGAAACGCACACTTAACACCTTAACACCCAGGAGACCACGGGAGAAGCACGTGGTCCTCCTCCCAACAGCGGCAGGAACGGAGTCCGAGCGGGCAGGGAACCGGGCCCCCGGTTTCTCGTGTGACTCCCGCGTAACCGTAACCACGCACCTGCCATCAGTCTGCACCCAGCCGCTCAGCCTCACCTGGTTTTCTCCATGACCAGACGCAGTCCTGGCAAGACGGCTGCGCAGGGGAAGGCTGCAGCCCACACCGAGTTTTCCCTTCGGCGTAGAACACGAGCCACTTGGGAGACAAAGTCACGAGCAAAGGCTAGCGAGGACCCCCCCTCACACAGCAGGGCCAAGGGCGGGGAGAGGCCGCTCGGGGCAAGGCTGAGGCTGAGCCCCGGCTGCAACAACACGCCGGACAGAAAGCCGGGTCCGGGATGGGCACCTGAGCCCACGTAACGACTGCACAAACAGGGCCCTCACCTACCCTGCCCAAGGGGCACATTTGGTCTCGCGGCACATCCTAAAAGCTTTGGAGGAAACATGCCAGGCGACCCCGTCCCTGGCTATTTGAACCTCGCATTCCAAATCACGGATGAGAGACAGAGCAGACACCTGAGGCGCGGGCCTCCGCCCCCCGCACGACACGCGTCCTACCTGCTTCCATCAGCTGGCACTGCTGCCCGAAGACGTGGGAGAAGGTGACGGGGCCCGTGGCCGAGCCGGACGCAGCCAGGGCGGACTCCATGGCTCCCCTGGGGTCTTCGATGTTGGTCACGGGGCAGCGTCCGGACCTCCCAGAGTGTCCGAGCAAACGATGACGTCACTGGCTCTGGAACTGCAGGTCTGAGGCCACTTGCCACTTTCCAGAAAATGTCTCCACGCCCCCCCAAAGTTTGTAACGTCTCTTCCTCTCGTCTCCCACTTCTTGCAGTTTTCCTCAAACACCAACCGAGAAAAATGAAAGCCTCCAGGGCTCGCTCAGCAGACCTTGCTCAGCTCCAAGAGTTCGATGCAAAAGGTAAATCTAAGTTCCACCCGACAGGAGTGGTTTCCTCTTGTCCGGGAGCGGTGGCTGGGCCCTGGTCCCCCACTCTGTCTTCCCAGGAGTCACGACGGGCAGAGGGCACGGTGCACGGTGCTGCTCAGCCCCACTGCCAGCTGGGGAGAGCTGAGGCCCCAGCTGCAGGAAAAGCACTGCTGGGCTCCTTGGAGGCTGCTTATGGGGGGTGGGGGGTGGGGAGGGCAGGGAGCAAGGCTCCCCCGGGGAGCTGGCCTCGCAGGCCTGGCGCTCTGGCAGCCCCAGCGGCTCAGGCAGCTAGAGTAGCTCCAGCCCAGTTCTCCCTCCTCCCCAGCCCGAGCGCTGCTGTCCAGGGTCCGCGCGCCGCCGCTGGGCGGCCAGATGCAGACAGGGGAGCGGGCACGGGAGAGGCAGCCAGCCGGCACAGCAGGGGCACTCCGCAGCTCAGGACCGAGGTGTCCGCAGTTCATCTTTCACTCCGCCGCCTTGCTCTTCCTGCAGCCCCCTCCTCGCCGCCGCCGGGCTGTGGGGAGGGGAAGGAGACATGGTTCAAGAGCCCCTGCGGGGACCCCCCCGGGGGCCAACTGCAGCGCAGGGACCTACTGCAGCGGGCCCCCCAGCCAAGGACACCACCGCTCTTCCATGCTGCAAAGGGGCCTGTGCTTGGAGAGGCTCTGGATGCAAAGCGAAGTGCTAACTCAGCTCAGCAGGCTCCCGGCTGCTGTAACCTCTTCGTGCCCACAACCCAGGAGGTGCCAGGCAGAGGAGAGTGCCAGCGGCAAAACCAGAGACCAGAGAGAGACGCGCACGCCCCTTCTCACTGGCGCTCCGGTGACCTCCGGTGACCCGGCGGTGGTCTGGGGACTGAGTCTGTGCGCAGAGCAAGCAGGCCCCTGCCCCAGCTGAGGGGGGCCGTGGCTCTGGAGAGGGGGGCGGGGAGGGAGAAACCTTTCGCAGGATTACGACAGCTGTTTCAGTGGGCGCTGCTGCGCCTTTATTTTGTAGCCCATCTGCTGATCGCAAAGGTGCTAACTTTAGAGAGAGACGCAGAGTCGTTCTGGAAAATTCCGTGGGCATCTGGCTGCGATGCTGGCAGGACCCTGGCAGCACCACACCCACCAGGAGAGAGACTGTGACCCGGCACAGCAGCCGCCATCAAAGCGCCCATGTCTGTTTCCCCAGGAGGACTTTGGTGGGAAGGCCACTTGCCTGCTCTATATATACGATACAGAAGGTCAAGTTTAACTGATTTGTGGGTCAGAAAGCCTCTCAAACACCAGCTTTTCCCACTTGGACTCTTGGCCAGCAAAACCCAGGGATGTTTGCTGGGCTCCCTGGGATGGTGGAGGCGAGGCAGCAAATGCCTTGAAACCCTTCCCAGAGTTCAATGAAGTCCATCTAGTTCTTGGTCACGGTCTAACGTCGCTTGAACTGTTGAGGCCTTTTTTGTGTGGGATGAAGTTCTTCTCCAAGTAGCAAGGTGACAGGACATTAGAGTCCATTCCCCCGACCACTGAGGCCCAAGACCACCAAGGGTTCAGGTCAGGAGAAGACCAAGTCCCCTGCAGGCTGGGAGATGGGCCGACTTCCGCCTCTGGCTGACCATGTAAGTTTTAGGGCATCCTGGCAAGGTGCTACTATGTTGCCCTAAAAAAACTCTAAGGTGGCCTGAACAGGAGAGGCACGGAGAGTTTGGGGGCCGTAAAAAGTCCGTGTACAATCCTATAATGATAGAGACATGTCGTCATACATGTCCAGACCCATAAAACACACGCTGCCGAGCGCGACCCCTCACACGCACCACAGACTTAGGGTGACACGACGCGTCCGTACAGAGTCAAGGGCAGGAACCAATGGGCCGTCTGATGAGAGATGCTGATCACCGGGAAGGCTGTGCGTGGGGGGTGGGGCAGAGGGTATATGGACATCTCTGTACCTTCCTCTTAATTTTGCTGTGCACCTAAAACTTCTCTTTAAAAAACAAACTCCAAGGTAAGCCTTTATACACTCATGCGCCCTGCACGTGTCTTTTGTTTGGAAAACTGGTTTTACTTCTCTCCCTTCTCTCTACACTCAGTCCACTGCTTCTCGCCCTAGCTGGGGTTTCATTGACCACGTTTGCAACCTGTTACCCTGCTTCCTTAGCACCGGGCACCCGCGTCCCCTTGTGAGCCCTGCCACTGTACACAGCACAGCTACGATGCCACCTAATGGTTGGTCACCAATATATCATCCGGTCAGGACACACAGTGAACAAACAGAACCGCTGTAATAATCACCCCCGGGAAAGGGGGCAGTGGCTGGAAGGGACGGGTCCGTGTGAGAATGTCCTTGGCTACTTACACAGGAGAGGAAGGGTGCGAAGACATACACAGATTTGGTTTCAGGAAACACTGACAGGTAGCACTCCGGGAGGGCGCCTGGTTTCCGCTCTCACCGGGACTGCCACGGGTCCCCACTTTCTCGTGTCTCTGCCAGTCACTGTTGTTGGCCCAAACTAGGAAGCCGGGAGAGCTAATGGGTACGAAGTTGTGGTCCATTGTTTTGACTTGCCTGGCCTTAACCTCTAGTAAGGGGAGCACACCTTGGAAAAGCTCACTAACCAATGGTGTCTCCTCTTCAGGAAATGTCCTGTTCGGAGCCTTTGCCCAACTGTCCAGTCATTTTTCTATTCTCTGGCTCCTGTTCATTCACACCGGCGCCTGGACTTTGCTGGATAGCCATTCAGACTGAGCCGACATCCCCTCCTGCTCCGTCGTCATCCAACGGAGGCCCTTGCCCACGGCATCTTTTCTTGACTAGAAATTCTCTGTCTCTGTGTGGTCCATTCCCTTCCTCCCTCTGTTTTGAGGGCCTTGAGTGAAACATCCTTCTCTGCCCCGGGCTGCAAAGTCGGCTTCCTTTATCGCTTTAACTTTCATGCTTAGTCCTCGCCCATCTGGAGCCCAGCTTTGCTTTTCTCTAGAGCGGAAACCAGTTTTCCCCAAACCCTCTTTCCCCATCCCACCGTCTCCCTGCTGTGGCCCCGCTAATTTCATCTCTCACATTCCCACTTTCATGGGTCTGTTCTTGAGCTCTCTCCCAAACTGTGGATTCTCCCCTTCTGCGCTAACAGTTTAGACTTAGAGTTAACACTCTGGATAGTAAAAATTCTGGGTTCCAAATCTTTCAAGACGAGCCCGATTGGATGATGTTAACCCTGTTTGTCTCACATGAGCCATCAGCCAAAGCAGCAGATGACCCCTTTCTAAGGGACACACGCAAGCCTGGCCTGCCTGTTCCTCACAGAGATGTGCCCACATATCCAAAACATCACCAAAGATAAAGTTCAAGAAAAAAACCACAGGGGAGAAGGCGTAACTGACTTACAGGACTCCTGATACCTCTGTGCCGATAAAGGTCATGCATTAAAGATCTGTTTGATACTGACCCTGTGCCACAGGAAGACTGAGGAGGGGCGGGGCATGGAAAGTGGCAGAAACCAGGGGAATGAGGAGACGGCGTGATAAACACAAAGAATGATAACCAAACGAGTGGGAACACATTCCACATTGTGAATTACAGGATCCGGAAAGTTCCTGTCGTTCCAATGCAGGTGAGGGCTGTTGCCTTAAGGGAACCCTTCAAGGGAGGGAGTGTCACTGCTGGGTCTAACGAGACACGTTGGATTTGCATCCGTAGAAGGAAAAGACCGGGCTGGGGTGGGGGCTGAAGCAAGGGAGTCACCTGGGTGAACCCGGTTTACACGCTGCCTGATATTGGAAAGGTTTTAAAGTCCACTTAGGGCTCTTTAGATTGGGAAGGATACAAATGTGCTCCACGTCAAATCGATGGCCATAGCTGTGTTTCTAAGCTCTCCCCTGGTGCATTTTCAGCCCTGCAGACTTTAAGTGGGCCTGCCCCGGAGAGCTCCCTTAGCTTTGCTCAGACGCATGTTCCCCGGGGAGCCCATCGTCTGACCCAGGCTCCATCCATCAGCTGTTACCACCGCAGCTCCCGAAAGGTGCCGGGGAGCACGGCCAAGCCTTGGGGACGGGGGAGGCGAAGTGAAGGGCCACCGAGGACACCGTGACACCGAGCTCAGAGCCAAAGGCCACTGAGGGGAGGCTGCCGAGTGCCACGAGCCACACTGTGGCCACAGACATTCTCATTGGGTAGCGGGTGCTAACGCGCCCCCTTCCCGGGTGAGGAAACCCGGGTTTGGGGAAATGCGGTTTGCCCAACATTGCGCAGCCAGTGACAGGAATGTGCAAAGTGAGCATTTTACGGTCCTCTGCTGTGCAACTAGCTGCCACCTGTCCCTTCGAATGGTTGTGCGGTTGGCTCATGTTCCACAAAGAAGTCCATGTTGACTCAAGGTTCCTAGCGGATCACAATAAACATTTTTTTAAAACAGATCCTTTTTTTTTAAGATTTTATTTATTTTTAGAGAGGGAAGGGAGGGAGAAAGAGAGAGAGAGAGAAACATTAATGTGTGGTTGCTGGGGGTCATGGCCTTGCAACCCAGGCATGTGCCCTGACTGGGAGTCAAACCTGTGACACTTTGGTTCGCAGCCTGCGCTCAATCCACTGAGCTACGCCCGCCAGGGCAAACATATTTATTTTAATGAAATTGTTAAACGGCTGTGCTAGGGTATCACTCACATGCCATAGGATTCACCCACAGAGAGTGTACAATTTCACGTCTTTTAGCGTGTGCGCGGTTATGTAGAGTCATGAGCACACCTGAGACAGAAACCTACACGCTTCAGCTGTTACGTCCTACATGCCCA